TTAGCTTTCCCATCTAGATGTTCTTTTATGCGGACACAAAGTGGTCTACCCTTTTTTTTTTTTTTTTTTTTTTTTTTTTTTTTACATGAGATCAAGTATATTATACCTGGACTCATGCAATCCCCGTCTCTCCCGTTAGGACAGATCATACAGTTTTCTGAGCTGCACAAACGATCATAGAGACGGTTTCGAACTAACTGGCGGCGTAGGGTATTGGGTGGGATGTCAACAATCGTTACATAATTTTCAAGACCGCTTTTTCTTAAGCACTTTTTAATGGCGTGACCTACTTCATTTGATATGAAGGGCAGCTTAAAGGGTATCTTACTTTCGTCTGAAATATTATTTTGGGAAACTACCCAATGTTTTCCTCTAACCTGAGTGGCTTCTACTTCGTAGAAGTGCTATTCAAAATATTTTCCAGACCACCTAAAGATTGAACAACTAAGACACTGTTTTAGGAGGGTCATTAGTTGTGCAATCGACAAGCCGTGCATTTTTATTTTCTTTTCATGCTCTACGAGCAACTCGAGAATGGCTTCCATTGCGGAGTCATTGGACACGTTGGTATAAAGTGAACTAGTTCAGTGAAAAAGTGAAAATATTTGCCGAAAAATTGCCATTTCCAATGGCTAATGGCTACGAAGTAGAAGCCACTCGGGTTAGAGGAAAACATTGGGTGGTTCCCCAAAATAATATTTCCGACGTAAGTAAGATCCCCTTTAAGCTACCCTTCGTATCAAATAAAGAAAGTCTCGCCGCAATTCCCACGACCGCCTTTCTTTTCACCTCGGCATTGATTGATAATTCGATGTTTTTCTTCTCACGCCATTAAAAAGTGCTTAAGAAAAAGTGGTCTTGAAAATTATGTAACGATTGTTGATATCCCACCCAATACCCTACGCCGCCAGTTAGTTCGAAACCGTCTCTATGATCGTTTGTGCAGCTCAGAAAACTGTATGATCTGTCCTCACGGGAGAGACGGGGATTGCATGAGTTTAGGTATAATATACTTGATCTCATGTAATGCATGCGGCGAGGAATATATCGGGGAAACGGGTAGACCACTTTCTGTCCGCATAAAAGAACATCTAGATGGGAAAGCTAAAATCCGTTTAAACACCCCTCTAGGTACGCATAGGGCACAAAAGCACAACGGCGATGATTTTGAAGTGAATGTGCGGTTCCTAGCGCAGGAATCAAAAACATCAACGCGCAAAGCTCTTGAGGCGTTTTGGATAAATTTCAAAAATCCAAAGATGAACCGGAAGGACGAATGCCTCACTATCACGCGTGACCTGGCGCCCTATTTCAAAATGATATTTTGACCCCGGGGCGTGTCTTGCTCGCGTAAACTACGTGTCGGCCAGTCCCGCACATAACATCACGGTGAGTGACTTTTCTGTTCAATATGGCGTCTATTTGAAAGTTTGATCTTCATTAATACTTTAACCTTCTTTTCCACCGAATAATAAAAAGTATTCTAACATAAAGTACGTCCAGGCTCTGAGGAAGGCGAAGTCGCCGAAACGTCAGCCATCGTTCAATAACATCAAAAACAACGACAACGACAACGAAGATCTGTACCAACGTCGCGTCAGCTTAAAAAGATCAGTTTATAAGATCATATAAATAAATACATACTTTGTCTTAACCGTAGGGAAGGTGACTGCATGAGTTCTAGATGAGTTCTGAGTTTTGGACAATACGGCAAGACGGTCCCGTAAATGTATCTTGAGCTTGTCACGTATGCTTTAACAAATTTAGAACCCGAAACTTTGCTTTCGATTTTTATGGGTTTGAGCTTCATATAGATTTAAGATCAAAAGAACATCTTTAAAAAAACAACAACATAACCCGGTCGACAGGTTAAAGCCTCAACTGCTCTTGTTGTAGAAAAACTACTAGATCAGCATCGTCCGTTGTGTATCAAACCAAAACTACACAACACAACTTCATTGAGTTTCCGAGAAGTACTGTGGCAAAAATCGACTATAAGATAGTGCAGAACAAAAAGAAAGCAGTTTACCTGACCACACTGTGCACAGCCTCTCATTGAATAAGTACCGAAAACCTTCATCGACGAGTTGATGAGATCGACAAATCAATTCTAGCCCATTCGTATGTAGGAACGTTTTCGCAACTATTTCACCAAATACCTTTAGAACATATATTTTTAAATTATATCAACATTTCTACGAGGTAAAATGCAATATTCAAAACTAGTACTTCGGCCAAACCACAAATTGAAAAAAAAACTACGGTGTAATGAAGATGTAACTGGAAAAAGAGTAAAACCTCACCTAGTATACACAATCATTAGACACAGAGTTTCATCCACATTTTTACAACGAGTATATAAAGCTAAAGGCTAAAGCTCTCGGCGTTGACCAGTCCCCGAAGGATGCGCCATGCATCCGACTTCACTGAGTATCGTTGGAGGTGACTGAATGCATATGTGGTCTTTACAATAACTCTCGGTGGCGTACCGATGCATTGAATAAATGCTGCTATCCTCCCAGACAAGTCTGGTACCATTTTGCTGACCCCGGAGGGACGAAAGGCTTGGTGAGCCACAGGCGCGGGAATCAATTCCACGTGTTTGTTGCAGGGTGCCTTCGAACACTGCGCCACACGCGCTCTTACAACAAATATATAGCATAAAGTATTTCTTTAATAGAATTTAGGCCAAAAGTATCTGCGTCACTCAAATACAAAACAGCAATTTCGCGAAAAAAAAAAACGCACCCAGCCTGCACCACGTGGACTAAGATGCCATCCTTCTTCATCTTCATCAGGATCTGACCACACGAGATCACAAAGAGGACCCTTTATGCGTAAATACATATGTGATTAAAAGATTTCACAGAAGAAGTAAACACGATGACTTTTGAAGAGCTCAACTATGTAGAATAACACACCTTGGTGGGTATCTCAACTGCACGATGAAGACTAAGCATCTTATCGATTGATTTAATTTCCGGTGACAAACCTCCATGAACACACAATATAGTGTCATCAATAATAGCAGCGATGGGTAACACATCGAACACCTTTAATATGCATATATATATATATATATACATATGTATGCATATATACATATACATATATACATGTATGTATGTATATATATATATATATATATATATACTTTATAATACCTGCTACTACATGAACCCCAGCATTCATTGCATCCGATTCGTCTTCTACACACTCAGTGCCCGCAAAGGTCTTCCAAAATTTCGCGCGTTATTGCGGCTACTGCTTGAGGATTTCGTCTCGTTTATGGATCTCGTAGAGTTCTGGTCCAGTCGATTCCTTTGCCATGTTGGAGATGGCCGAGAGTGTGCATTTCCACGTGGATAAGAGGAGAGCGTTAGGAAGGATATATACACGTATATACGAAAATGAATGCTTTATTTCGATGTAGAAGAATCCGGTGCTGATGAGTGCTGTGTAAAAATATCCAAATTTTAAACTTCAAAAACAGCTGGCATCAAATCCATGCCTATTTTCTAACTCGTGAGTACAAATATTTGGGAAAGAAGCAATAGCTGAGTGGTTAGTCACGCAGTTCACTAGGAAACAAGGTTGAGGTACGACACCCTACTCAAAGCAATCCTCCCATAGACATGGGAATGCCCTATTTCAGCCATTTCCAAGAATACAAGGAGAATCGATTCGACTAGCACTCTACGACAGTCCTAAAAAAATGAAATCCTCTAGGAGTACCCCAAACAACATGCAAAATGTTCGAAGACCTTTGTGGATGATGAATGCCAGGAAAGTGAATCGACTGGAAGAAGCTCTGGGATCGGCAGAGTAGATGTTATGAAGTGTCATGTTAGTAAATAAATAAATAGCATCACTATTTTCTCACTGTAATAAGATATGGAAAGAAAAAATAAAGAGCAACGAGGAAGAAAAAACCCGCAAGCTCAAACGCATCTACCTTGCAACACCAACTGAAAACCAACATGTGACCATACTTTTGAATACATTCATCGTAGAAGCCATAAACAGAAGAAATTCTGCGAGATTCATGATTACCACGTAACAGTGTGATCCTTTCGGGGTACCTGAAAAAGCAACACTATGGGTCGAGATCGAAACACTTAACACAACCACAGGAATAAACGCTGTAATTAGATGTGTTAGATGGTGTCAGAATAAAAACAATTGGGCAACAAAGCTGCACCACAATGTTCACAGCAATTAAAAATCGACTTCGAGATAATCACAAACTACTGGTAAAACGCTATGGCTTCTTTTTAAGAACATGAGTGACTCTCATAATACAGTTATTTGAATAATTTGATGACCCATCTTCACTGTTTGCACAGGTCCCAGCACGATTTACACTTTTCGGAATTTTAGTGGTTTAGCCACTGTGGTTCCCTGGAGTCCCGACGTCAACCGGGCCAAAGTCGGCCCCATGTCGTTACCACTACAGGCAGTCGCCGTCCTTGTGGAACAGAGGGAGATTTGCCACTATGCAACTAGTTTAACACCAAGACGGTGGTGGATCCTGGTACAGGTTTATTCTTAGCTTAGCTTCCTAATAGGAGCACCGGACTACTCGGCTTGAGAGGTCCTGCTGCGAGATGAATCCCACCGCTGTACATCGCAGCTCCAGCACCCAGAAACACCTCCCAGCCACGATGAGGTGCTAAACTGCTGGGAGGCATAATGTAATATTCTTTTACTAAACCATTTCTAATAATAAGCATAATTATTGTCATACCAGATCAAGCTAACATGACATATCCATTCGTATTGTTGTGTGCAGTGTATTCTTCGGTTTGGTGACAAACCAATGGAGCATCTATAGAGTTTTTTTCTTTAAATCTTTTCTTTTGTTTAAGATGGCTCTGAGAAGAATTTTGCAATATTCGGGTGCGTTAAAACACTCCAGGTCTCCAGTAGCTGTACATACACTGGCTTTTGGTGTAAAGAAAAAAACGGAAAAGAAAATGAATTCGAATGGTCACATACTACAAATGCCATGTCAGCCAAACGCACTGCTGAAAATAGCATAGGTTTTAACTGTTCACTCCTCCGGGAAGAACGATGAGTTTACTACTCCACCACCAAAGATCGCCTGCACGTATTCATGGTGGCATGTCCCCATGTATTCCACGCAATTCATAGATTTCAATCGAGCTCATGAGTGTGGATATGTAATCAACTGCTCCTCTGCATCAATAGGAAATAGTTTCCGAGGAACTTCATGAATGACGCAAGAGTAAGATGCTTTAAATCATCAGCATATGCCACGCCTTCTGTCTCTCACGAGGCAAACAGCGATGAGCTCATAGAAGACCAAGGAGGGACATAGAAAACGCATCAGTATCCTTTGCGCTCCTGGAAGATCTGACGCAGTGTGGCATACTTAGCACTGCTGTCCAGCGATAAATAAATCGAACAAAACTATATAAAACGTGTTCGCCTGCTAGTTCCCTTTCTTAGAAAAAATGGTAGAGACGGGTTAACTTGTTCTCCTGGACAACAAAAATACTGAACTACTCACGTACTGGACTCGAATGTTCTTTAACAGCTCGAGACTCTTGGCTGAAAATTGATTCAACAACTTTCCTACGCGTAACGAGGAAATTGCACGGTATTCTTTCTTTTTCAATATCTTAAAACTTCCTTGACGACAAGCACTTCATCAACTTGAAGGACTACAAATTGAGATCCGGTTAGCATCAGTAGCTTTATAGTACATTGTATATCTATACTGAAGGGAACAAAAACACACAACTCTGTGCCCACCTTTTCAACCACACCATACTTTCTGCCTTAACGTATGCGTCAGAAACCTAGTCGCTGCGTAGGTAGGAAGAAAAATCACTCAGCATTATTGAGCTACAGTCGAAAGGACGATGCTAGGAGTATCACGCACTACACAAGTTGAGAGAGAAGATCCGAAGCTCCGACCTGCGTCAACAATCAAAAATCAAAGATATCGTTCTAGATGTCAAACTGTCCAATATAGGATGGGCAGGACACATGATGCGTATGAACGACAACCGATGGACAAGAGCCGTTAATGACTGTATTTCTCGGGATGTCAAACGTACTGCAGGAATACCACCGACCCGATGGTCAGAGCTCTTCACAAAGGGTCCAGAAGAAAGACATGATGCTCGACGAATCCCAAGAGCGAGCAGACCCCGCTGGGCTACTCTTGCACGCGACAGAGAAAAGTGGAAGATTTATTGGAGCCCGCTCGAACCACTCGACGATCAGCGGGACGACAGGTGAGGTGATACAGGTGATTATATATTTATGTTTTTGTTAGTCTTACAGTATTAGTAGTTTTTCGACTCATGGCTTTGGAAATTGTGGGATAAGATGTATCAAATTTCAAAATAACTATTGGGATAAACCAAATCAAGTACTATAATGATAATACAGAAAACAAAAAACCTTTTCTGAAGCAAACTTAACTTTACACTACATTGATCACTTCTTTCCATTTAGATTAACCAAGTTACTGAGAAATTACGATCACAGTGTGGAAGAGCAAGCATTGCAATATTGAGCTCAAACTATGCAACAATAAAACAAAGGCGAAAGTAAGCACACAAAAACATACTTGAGCATTAGAGCGAAAAGAAGGGTTACGGTTTCTAAACTATAATACCCACGATCCACATAATCTCCCATAAACACATACTTAGTGCTAGGTAGCTCTCCACCTAAAAAAAAACTGAAAAATCATTCGCATCTACCTGTATAATAGATTCTTATATGGGTTACATAACGCACCAGTACGAAAAAGCTCTAGTAAGTCGTAGAATTGACCATGTATATCACCACAAATCGTCACAGGGGTTTCGACAGGGACTACATTCGGTTCTTTCAAAAGACGCGCGATTAGACTGAAATTACTACTATGTATAAAAATAGAAGTGTCAAAAATGGGAAACTAAACATCCCACCAATTACAGAGTGATACCATATCTTCTTCAGGCAAGTATTTGCACTCTTTGGAAACCGCAATCCATTCATCGACACAGACCGAACGCGTGCTAAACATGGACAATGCAAAGTGCTCACCCCAAATATAGCAATTCCTTAGATAAAATTTAACAAGAAGAACCTGCATTTATAACGGAGTTTGTCCTCATCAAGCATTTTTTTCATCAAATCATAAGGAATTTCCTCATCGAACGGCATGACAGTAAATGTAACATCTCGCTCAACGTCGCCCATTTTTATGACTCAAAGCTAAAAATAAAGGGACAAAGGTTGAAACTCTCGGCGTTGATCAATCCCAGACAGATGCGCCATGCATTCAACTTCATCAAGCAACGTTGAAGGCGACTGAATGCATATCTGGTCTTTAGAACGACTCGCGGTGGTCTACGGATGTATTGAGCCAGTGCTGCTACCCTCCCAAATAAATGTGGTACCAATTTGCCGACCCCGGGAAGATGGAAGGCTTAGTGGGCCATGGGCACAGAGATGGACCCCTTGTATATTGCAGTGCGCTTCTGAACACTATGCTACATGCGCCCAAATCCTTCCAAAGCTATAGATTAAATCAGTAACAAAATATTTGTTAAAATCTTTCCATATTCCTTTTCGCCAAAAAGATTAATAAGCTCGGGATGATCATATCATCACATAAAACTTGACGAACAAGCAAGATACAGGACCAATGTAACGAAATGGATCAAAGATGATAAACTGTCAAAAAATAAAAATTCATTCGAAACAACGAAGAAAACAATAGATTGAATATCCAATACTCTAGTGACCTGAAGTCACTTATCAACGTGTAAAATCATTACAGATCGACAAACGAATAAAAACTCTCATAAGAACGCATGGGAACGCAAATGTTAAGCACTAGATCCTCTAATACGACTTACACATGAACAACAATAGCAAAAATATAACAAATACGGTCGAGACAACAACACTAAGGACCTGTCGTAAATATATCAAACTATTCTTTCTGTTCTTGTTGAGCAAAAATGTGGTATTATTTTCCTTCTTTATTTACGAACAAGCTGACGTTTTGGCGCATTTCGCCTTCCATAGAGCTTGGAAAGGTTAAGTTGACATCAATCTATCTAGCCAAGCGTTGCTCAACAAGAATGTAAAGAATTATACAATTATACCGAACTATGTCCCGAGCTTTACTTAAGTTTCTTTCCAAAAACTTTCCTTTGCACAACATTTCGAAACTATGAAAACTTTAAGTTGGAACGACGATATCATGTGCTTACACAATGAGGTTACTCACAAGTGGTTTAACTGGCCACAACAACGCCTACTTGTGCAGGACGAATCGGCCTCTCTCTCAGTAAATATCCTACTTTCGCAACATGCATTATATGGCCAGGTTCGACTTTTGCTTCCTGTAAGGATTTAAAAATGAATAAAATAAATATAACTCATAAACTTAACTCTTTTATTTACTGCCTTTTTCTTCTTAATGGCAGGGTATGTTGTGAAATATAACTCGTATGAAGTGCTGAGATACCTGCAAAACTCCAGACCACAGATGTATGCAGTGGAGAACGAACACACGCTGTTGTCCTTACCGGGGAGCAGCGCACTTCACCACTACACCAGACCCGGATGGTACACCTGTGGTCTGGAGTTTTGCAGGTATCTCAGCACTTCATACGAGTTATATAACTCATAAAATTGTGATAACGGCTATTAGAAGACACTTACGTCGCTAACTGATACTTGAAAAACAGCCTCGTGTAGATTTGGATCGAATTTGTCGCCAATAGGGCTGAGAGCAACTAATCCATGTCTCTTGAACACTTTTAAGAGCACCGTCTTTGTCATTACTATGCCGTTGTGAAGATCCGTCAGCGTTTTGCCACCGGATTCCAGTTCTTCAGATTTCACAGAGTTCACAGCTAGGTCGAGTATATCAGCAACCTATCAATAGCTCATTTAACAAATTGAAGGGGAGGCTAGTTTTTAACAGTATCTTTAATTTACAATGTTAAGTTCTTATTTACTACCTATTATAATTTTCCATGGCAGAGTATCGCGTGTAAAACAACCACAATGATGCTAAGATATTTGCAAAACTCCGGACTGCAGGTGTCTGCGGTGGGGAACGAACGCGCTATTGTTCTTTCCGGGGAGTAACGCGTTCACCACCACACCATGCGGGTCCTTCGTTTCGCCTATCTCTCAGTTAGTTCTATCGATCAATCTTCCATTTATTTCATTTACCACGATCCGTCCTCACATTCAACCCGCGAATCCGGCACTTGTATAAGATTTGTTTCCCCGCATTCATCATACACGAAAGTGTTGTTCGACTGTCGGTTCGGCTGCTGCTTGAGGATTGCGTCTCTTATGAATGCCGCTAAATGCTGGTCTAGTTAATTCTCCCTGGAGTCCTGGGACTGCCGCGCTAGAGTGTTATCATTTGGGCTGCAGAGTGAACCGTTCCCATATAAGTGTGGCATCAATTGCTCAACCCCGGAAAGACAATAGGTTTGGTGAGCCCTGGGCGAGATTAAGCAAAACCATACCCGTGATGAACAACACCAGCAGTGCGCTACCCACCTCCTGGTTAGATTATCGCTAACTAGCCGTTATTTCTTGATGGCCGGAGGAATTTGGACTTCTCAGAGTTCATGCACTTATAGAACAGGTTTTACATTATGACTCCAAAATTTCGAAGAAAGAATGACTTACGGGTTTCATAAAGCTAGAGTCCCATCATAGTAAAGTAGAAAAACTTGTACCACAATGCGTTTTAATGATCTCTTCCTTCATTAACTTAGCCAACTACGAGCAGAATATCGTAAAAACTTAACACATTCGTCATATATGACACACATTTGCACCAAATGGGTTGAATGAATCGTAGAATCGCGTCTCCCACCTTTACGTCGTTTAATCCAGTAAATCTCTCAACGGTTACCGTCTAACTGTGGCTGGGAGGCGTTCCTGGGTGTCGAGTTGTGATAAACATCGAGGGTATTCACCACCCCAGCTGGGTCTCCCAATCTGAGAAAGAGTACAGCGTTTCCACTAGGAAGCCCAGCTAAAAGTAGACCAATATCATGGTCCACCACCATCCTGGCATCAAGCTAGCCGCATGGTGGCGAATCTCCTGAGCCACAAGGACGCTTATGGTGGAGACGACCTGAAGCAGACTTTGGCTAGATTGACCTAAAGACTCCATGGAATCATAATAGCTAAATCAGCAAAACTCCGAAGAAGTAGAAATTGTGCTAGGGCCCGCGCAGCCATTGAAGACGGGCCATCCAAGCACCCAAGTATATAAACAATTCGGTCATAGAAAAACAACAAAGGATTTGTAGAAATAGAATGTGAACAAGAAGAAAAAACACCTCTAATAAATCTTTGCAAAATCCTTGAATTGCGAACATCTTTGCTTCCTCTACCTGCTTAATACCACGAGCACGTACATTCTCCGTCTCAGCAAGTGATCGCCTGTACTTATCCTTAAAAACGTCAGACAGGATGAAATATATTCGAAAACATGAATGAGAACAAATATGGATAGAAATAAACAGCTGGATACCCCAATCGAGACGCACCTTCCACTCAAACACTTCCTCGACCAAAGAGTCGTACTCAGACAGTAAAGCTTCAAAAGCTGCTTTCGGAATAGCGAAGTCTTCACTGTCTTTCTTAGCAGCTACTTTCTTGACTTCATCAAAAAATTCCGCTCCTCAAGATATGAAAGCTTAATTAAATAGTAATCTGAAGAAACTCGAGAACTGTTTAAAAAAACAACTCTTTGAAAAAGAAATTCGTCTACCAAAACAGCTAGAGTTCAAAAATTGTCACTCAATTACTACGTCTCTTGGATTCTCAGATGGGTCGTTCCAACTAGTTATGCGGGTACCAGAATATTTCGATTTCTTCAAGGTTTTTCTGGCTCAGTTACTGTGGTTTCATGGAGTTCCGTCCGAGGTCAGCATAGCTGAAATTTGCCCCAGGTCGTCACCACCACAAGCAGTCGCCACACTGTGGACCAGAGGAAAATTTGCACCATACGACTAGTTTGAAAGTAGGACGATGGTGGATCCTGGTACTGGTTTACTTTTAGCTAGGCTTCCTGATGAAAACGCCGGAGTCTCTCTCAGTTTGGGAGAGTCTGCTGGGGGATGAATACCCTTGCTGTATATCGCAACCCGACATCCAGGAACACCGACCAGTCGAGATGAGGGAGCGGTAAACCATGGGTCGGATTACTACGTTAATGTTTGCAATATCGAAATGCGGCAAGCAAATAGAAAAAGGCAAAAGATAAGAATCACCACTTAATCGAATTCCATCAGGTTTTCTTAGCTGAAACTTTAAAGGTTCGTCACTATTTTCAGCACTCTTTGCAGATTTAGAACTAAAAGAGAGCGCGAGTCGTGATAGTTGTCGTTGTGTCAGCACTGGCCTAAATTAACGAAACGAGTACTTAGAATAAAAAAAAACGTGAAGATGAAGTGTGGCCAGCAACTGCTCACCACATCCGAAACGATACGCATTGGCGCCAATGCACATAAGAAAAGTCGTTGGGTCATTCAATCTTAGGCAAACATATTTCAGCTCATCGTGAACATTGACTAGAACCTATATATCTTTGTTCAAAGGATACAAGCTTGATGTAACTCTAATGTTCTTCGAATTAAGTTTTAAAATATAGTTAAAACAATGACGAAATTTCCGGAAAAGTACATATTCTTTTAGGGCACTAAAATAAGTTTCTCTTTGCAAGTTTGTACGTAATAATATTGCAAATACACAAGATCCTTAATTCTACACTTCATATATCCCCTCATCTTAGAGGTTCGACTGCAGGTGGGGTTGGGGAGAACTGAAGAGGTAAAAATTCATCACTTACTTACCCTGAGAAGAAGCCTGATTCAGGACGTGGGCTGCGTACTACCGCCTCCGCGGCTTCAGAGTAAATTCCGTATATAAGTGCATATACCCATGCACATATACGTACCTGTGCTTCCTAATATGCGGATTTTATGAAATTAAAAGATAAAGGATGAAGAGTTGGGCGTGAGTCAATCCCTGAGGAATGAGCCATGCATTGGACCTCATCAAGCATTGTTAGAGATGAGTAAATCCGTATCTGGCCTATATCACTTGGAGTGGCCTATTGATAATATAACAAGTCACTGCTGCCACCCTTCCAGACAAGTCCGGTACTAGTTTGCCAACACTAGAAGGAAGGGAGACCAGGTAAGCCCAAGGCGTGATATCGAAGCAAAGAGCAAGTGCGTACTGCAGGACATCTCTAGCCATAGTGCTACGATTGCTTCATGTAAATATTGGAAAGTAAATGAGTGATGGATCGGTGTTGCCTCTAATAAAGAAGCTCTACATCGATTTCTTGGAAAAGGAACTACACATGAGCATACCTCCCCCTATCCATAGCTCAATGCGCCGAGTTTTTACTTTTATTCCTTTTATTCGACTTGTATTCACGTCTACTGTGATGATCCTTGCATTTTTCACACTCGATTCGTTTCCTCGCTTCCATTATTCACGAAGATCTTATAACTTTTACGAGTAGCTTCGGCTAGTGTCTGAAGATTTCCCTTTCATCTTGAATGTCGCAGAATGCTGGTTGAGTCGATTCTCACTGGAGTCCTGAGTCAGCCGGGCTAAAGCGTTCCCACTTGGATCGCAGAGAAACTTTTCCCAGACAACTCTGGTAGTAAGTTCCCGACCCCGGAGGGATGAGGAGGTTGGTGGGCCTGGGGATAGATAGAACCAGCACCATTCTCGCGATGACAGGCACTACTACCACTGTGCTATCCGCACCCATGCGCTGGATATGTTCTAAAAAGCAAAATCAAAATCCCTTATGGGAAAAAGTGAATGACTTTCGTGCCCCTTAGGGGCCGAAGCCTATCGGAAAGCCCTAATGGTCCAATAGGACGAATGAAACTTTACGAGTGCACCGCGAGTCACTCGACCACTAGCGGACTCAAAGAACTTTAGCTGATCTAGTAAAATCACCTTGGCAGCAACGGATTAGAAGAACTCCAACTGCTGAAGCTAATTCCAAAAGCGATTTTCGCTATCCGTCTGGCAAACATGCTGGAAAAGGTAATAGAACATTCCTCGCCGAGATACGTAAAATGCAGCGGAATTTTGAGCGAATGGAAGTTAACTTACACAATAATAGCGCTGGATGGACAAAAATACTTGCAGTGAAAACAATAAATTACAGGGAATTACTGGAAAGATTTCAATCTCGAAATCTTGAAGACTTAATGGGCCGGTAACACTGATGGTACGAATTGCTTGAAAAAATCATGAGTTTGCGTCATAATTTTGGTCGCGGACGATGTTTTTCTGACGCCTATTCTGGTCTTCGAAGCAGGACAATCTTTTCGGCTCGGTGTATTGTTCTGAGTACTGGTAGGATTTGGTCAAACAGTTCATATTAAGTAATTACGAAATCGTGCAGATTGGACTAGTCTCCACTGCACATCACCAAGTTCTGTCCAGTCCTGTGGGGGATTCTGGAATTCAATACTATACTGTCTGACGTTCCCATGGTTTTGCCTTCTTCAGGACCTGGAAGAGTCATATTGATGCGCAGTCCACTCAGTCAAATACTGACATAACCTCAGCAGACAAAACTTGATGCATAAATATTTATTTGTTAGATAATAGTAAACATTTATGTATTAAGTTTTGTCTGCTGAGGTTATGACAGTGTTTGATTAAGTGAACTGCTTGTCCTTCTAACTCTTCCAAGTTCTAAAGAAGGGGAAGCTGCTTAAACATCAGCCAGAATTGTACTGGATAGATCTTGTGGTTAACAACCTGGTCTTTGCGCATGAGGAAAACACTCCTACTGATCAATGCAAAAGACAAAGTCGATCCTGGGTTCCGTGAAATCTTAGGTTTCAAATAATCCATCGTGCGTTGTGGTGATAACTAGAGACTTTCTTCGCAGAAATATCTACTTTCTGGATAAAAATGACAGAGGATGATGACCAAAAGGGATATACATGGGAGGCGGGATACGCAGATGGTAAGTCTATCATGTCTGATGTGTAAAGCATATACTCTTTATCTAAAGTGAATCATTCTGTTGACGGCGCTCATTTAGGGTTGAACATTCGTGAGGTCCTGGAAGAGGATGAGGGTGGTTCGATTGAGAAGTCTATTGCCAGATTGATAGCTGAAGCGAGGAAAAAACATCGAACGCTTGAGAGGCCAACGAAAATTCGTCTAGGAATCGTGAGTTCACCGGTTCAGTTCCTATTACTTTTCATTTTCAGTACCAGTCAGTCATCTTTGCGGTTTCAGATGCGCTATGTTTACATTGCTATTGACTGTTCACGATCGATGACAAGTAAGGTTATGCCACCTTCTCGGTTTTTTGTCACCATGAAGATAAGTTTTGTCCCCAATTTTTAAAATTGAAACCATTGTAAAGATAGAGGATAAAACTTTCGGCGCTGATCAATCCCCAGAGGGATGGAGCCCTTGGTGGCCCTCGGGCGCGGGGATCGATCCCATGTGTATTGCAGAGCGCCTCTGTCCACTGCACGCAACCTAACTTTTATCTACTGCACATTATTTTCCACTTTAGGGTATTATATGAAGTGCAACCACAATGATGCTGAGATATTTGCAAAACCTGGGCTGTGGGCCAGATGGAACTACGATTACCTTTTCCGCTTGGGGTTCGCTTGTTACATTGTACCACTGAGGCTTTCATTCTGCCTTTCTCTCAGCGTCTTTTTACCCTAACAGTGCCATTATGTTTAATGATCCAATTATACATTCTGATTTCGACTACAGTCTCAGATTAACTGGGTTGAATGCCGATTTGTGCTCTCCAGATCAATCTCGTTAACGGATTATTGCTGATGACACCGATAGGGTAAAAAGACTGGCTGAGAGAAAGGCAGAACGAGCGCCTCAATGGTGCCATGCGTAAAACATGAACCCTTGAAATGGGTAATCTCGTTTTGATCTGGCCTGGGGTCCAAATTTTGCAAATATCGCAGCATCATTGTGGTTGTAATTCACCATTATAGCGGCTTGAGGAATTGTTTCTGAAGCGGAATGATCTGTAGACATTTCCTCTGTATTCCAAATTTTGCCTAAATTTTCTCAAAATCTTGGCTTCGATTAGTTGCTGTTGTTCTTACATGTATTATTATAGATCTTAAACGGTTTTATTGACAAATTCTTCGAGCAGAATCCAATCGCTCAACTAGGACTCATTCTCGCAAAAGACAAAAAAGCCGAACGATTAGTGAGCCTTACAGGTATTTTTCTTGATACATTTTTAAAATAAAGCGTGAATAGCTCGACTTGTATTCAATCAGCATTGTTTTCCTATACCAATATGGGACACACAGGTCAGAAGTGACTTCTTCTCGTTCTAGGTAATATTCGGGCATTGAAAGAAAGTTTATCATCGTTGAATGAAGCAATATGCAATGGAGACTTCTCACTTCAGAATGCTTTGCAGTTGGCCACAACGAATTTAAAGTAGGTTTCTGAGTTTCCTCAATTGTCTTTGCTGTAGTCACTTTTTATTTCCTGCCTATTCTTTTTATAGCAGAGTGTGATGTGAGGTATAACCAGAGTGACGCTGAGATATTTGCAAAACTCCGGACCGCAGGTGTCCGCGGTGGGCATCGAACTGTTTTTGTTTTTTTTTTTGCTGTTTTCCTTTCCGGGGGCTAAACGTCCACCACTCTACACTGTGCGGGTCCTTCGTTTCACTTTTCTGTTATCCATGTTTTAATCTATGTAGGTGCTATCAGCAATCATCCGTCAACGGAATCGATCTGTGGGGCACAAATAGGCATTGGACTCAGTTATGCTGTGGTATAAATTACAATGTAGTCACGTTTTATTCATTGCCTATGGTGGTAGACACGTTAGCCCCGGGAAGGGTGATCGCGGGTTCGATCCCCACCGCAGACACCTGTGTTCCAGAGTTTTGTAAATGTCTCACTATTGTTCTCTTTGATGTTCGCAAAGTAGTTCTGTGTGCTTTGTGGAGTACTGTTTCTTACGTTTAGAAGTTTGCCAGGACATGTTTCCCGTGAAGTAATAGTGGTCATGTCTAGTTTGTCTACCGTCGATCCTGGAAATATTTTCTCCACTTTCGAGGTAACGTTTCGAATTGTTGTGTTAATTTTCTTGTATAATAATGCTTTACCATTGTAGGTAATCAGAGGTCACAATATACGTTGTTCAGTTATTGGACTGGGTGCCGAATTATTTGTATGCAAACAGTTGGTGAAGATTACAAACGGTTCGTTTCGAGTTTATTAGCATGTATTTAGTTAGTTTATGTATTCAGTAGGTTTTTCCAGGTCGTTACGATGTCGTCCTTGACGCTGATCATTTTGAACTGGTTCTGGGACAACATACAGCTCCTCCTCCATCGACAACTTCAACTGAATGTAGCGCTATTCGGGTGGCATTTCCTCCGCACATCAACATCCAAGAGCGTTCTTTTTGCGTATGGTAATGTTTCTATTCTTGAGACGACCAATAGAAGAGTTATTCGGTTTACCATAACGGACATTCCAGTGTATGGTAAAATGAACTTTTGGCTGCGCGGTGAGAATGATGTTTAGTTAAATTAAGCACCGTTTATGCTGAATAGATATAGGGCAATTTGGTCTCCGTAAACGCTATGAAGGATTTCTCTTTAGCTTTCTGTTATTTGAAAATTTTGTTGGAAATCGATGGGTGAATGTTTCAGTCATCCAATGTCTTCTCCGCTGTCGACGTCACGCGGTTTTCTATGTGAGCAGTGTGGTGCGCGTCATTGTTCCTTACCTGCAGAGTGTCGGATCTGTCGGCTCACTCTCGTTTCTGCTCCTCAATTGGCTCGTGCTTTTCGACATTTGGTTCCACTTCCTGCCTTCACCCCTACGCCTGTGTCAGAAGGGTTAGTAGGTCGTTTTACTTTCAGGATTGCACATCAAGGGGTAGACGATATAGTTTATTTCGTAGTTGTGTTGGTGAATATCGACATGGGATTTGCTATTGGTTTTTGATATTATGTAAAACACTTTCGAAGTAAAACCATAATTGTTCTGAGATATTTGCAAAACTCCAGATCCCAGTTTTTTGATGTCCGTGCTAGGGATAGAAGACAGACAGATATTTGTCTGCGGTGGGTAGGGAGCGGTGAAGATAGATGGCAAACTAGCTGAGAGAAATGCGAAACAAAGGACACGCATGATGTGGTGGTGAACGCGTTAGCCTCCGGAAAGGGTAATAGCATGTTCGATCCCCACCGCAGACACCTGCCGTCCGGATCTTTTTAGTTATCTCAGTATCGCTGTGGTTTTACTTCACATAATACTCTTCTGTGAAAAATTGTAGTAGACAGTAAATGAGAAATTTACATTGTGACTTTGGAAGCAGTTGAAATGAGTTATCAATTGATCGAAAACGAGTGGTTGTTAGATAACAAAACTAGTTCGCACCGTTGGCTTAAAGAGCTTTCGGCTTCTTGAGTCGATGCTGACTTTTTCTATTAAACGTGTTTAGCAGTTTATTACTGTTTTTGTTTATAAAGATATTTTTTCAGAGAGTGTATGGCTTGTGAACAACCCTTGAGAGGAGAAGGCTTTAGGTGTAAGTCATGTAGTGCGGTTTTTTGCTTCGACTGTGATGTGCTTCTTCATGAGAGCCTTCATGTATGCCCTAATTGCGTTTAAAGAACGCTAGGACTGGAATTGTGGAATACTCTCAATTACTGAACCATCTCCGCTCGAGTGAGATGTGCAGAGTTCCGAATACTTTAGGTCAGAATGGGCTTCGAGAATGAGAGACTGAGAGAGAATGGTTGGAGACTTTTTAGAGACCTGGTTTGTTTTATCATGTCCCAAGACTTACTCCTCATTAGAGATGCTACAAGTAAATTTATGTTTAAGGCTTTATAGGTGGTTGTGATTCACGGTAGGATTGTTTACGTATTCCTAAGAATGGTTGAGATAAGAAAGTGTCTCCGTGTAATTTGCCTCATTCCGGTGACTATTTTATGTGAAGCTATCTCAATATTACGAGTATTATTAATAAATATTCACTCAATAAATATTCACTCTCTAACTGATTTTTCACCGATAAGTTGCTCATTTTACTTCCGAATAAAGACTTTGTGACGGCGTTGCTTTGTTTCTTACACTTACTTTTATTCAAAATGACCGCCTGTAATTATATCTTGACAAGGAGGTTGCTCTAAGTTCACTATGTTTAGTTTTTCTCTTGCAAGCAGGCAGTTTTTAAACCTCAAAATCAGCTCAAAGAATGTTCTACTATGATCTGGAATGCAATTGTCCTCGAATGCCGACACCCGTTAATGTTAGTTTAGAGACGGTCATTCTCTGTTATACTCGTTCGCAATGATACAGAATGTCATGGTGGAATAACCTTGCATCGGCCCACTATGCGGCTGAAGTCGTCTTCTGTTGTTGTAAAATGGACATTGGAACACGCTTAGGAGCTCCAACTCGGTTCAGCCACTCTGCTGAACGCCGTCAATTTTCTCGTGGCACAGATATTCTATCCAACGTTCCATTACGATCGATAGGCTGGATATCAATTGTTAAGTTCGCATAACAGCCACTGATCGAGTTTTTTAATCTTTTATACAAATGGTGAAGTTAATTTGGACTGTTAGTGTTAAGTTCTTTTACAAAGTCTCGGGTAGTTTTCAGATTCTATTGTTTATAGACATATCCCTTTCACATGGTCGGCGTCAGTTGATGGTGGACGACAAGACTTTCCCCGCCAGCAACAGTGACATCTCCAGTGCCGAACTCGTCGCACATTTGTCAACAGTGTGGACAGAGGCACTTCCGTGACACGTGCTTTTGATTACAACTCGTGTTGCTACTATTACGGTAGTAAGTTGGACTCATGGAGTAAAACTATACATTTTCTTTCTTTGTCGACTATAGGCATGAGCGGTTGGGCAAGGATGAAGCATCAGAACAATTACCAACCAAGAACACAAACCTTTGATACAAACATTAGTTAGTCCGAGGGAATAACTTTGTTGAACCATGCTACCATACGTCGATTGACAAACTTTGTGACATCTGGAAGAATCGGATTCGGATTTCTACTTCATACGCTATACTAGTGTGCTGAGGCTATCTAAGGCGGTAACAAGGTATCGGCCAGTTATTTTTTGGTTTATTCTTAGCTGTCCTTCCGGATGTGAATGGTAAACGCTTCCTAAGCTTTGGAGACTGTGTAAACCCTACAGCTCATTGCAGCTTTACAATAGTATCCTCGTGCAGCCAGGATTTCAAAAATAGTTCATTTCAACCAATCACAATTATTTGGTAGACTCAATAATAATGGCTCCACTTATCATTCATTAGTGCAGACTATGTGTGTTTTTAATTATTAAATGGAGTTTTTCAGAACATGAATATGCAGGATGCAGACCATATGCCTCCGCACATGGGAACGATTTCAGGACTTTTGATGTTATTGATCGATGGCTGACGTTTCGGCGACTTCGCCTTCCTCAACAAGATTTCAGGACTGCTGAATGGGCCTAGCGGTCGCGACCATGTTCGAAGCTGACCATCACGTCGTGAGCTGATGCGAAAATTAGACGTGTTTCTTTGCCGATCGACAACGAATCACTTCTCGTTCGGATCGAGGATATACTCCAATGTAGCAAAGTTGTCAACACCGTTGGCGATTGCATTAGTGATGTGTGAACTAAATAGAACAGCTGAAATGTGACGGTGACTGTGTCCGTTACTTAGTAGGATATTTGAATAGCTCATCCTTATTTCTGGTGCAGGTGCCAACATGGTTTCCATTCTCTTCTCTCACGCAATAGTCGTCCGCGGTGGTGTGAGGCTTCGAACATGGTGACGTTCGCGAGGCCATTTGGGACTTCTAAAAGTGTTTCCATCTGCGAATGCAGGTGGTTGATTTTAGAAGCGAATACGTGGCCCATCGTTTGTGCGGTCTTCGAAGGAGTCGTTTGCATTCTTTTGGAGTCCACTCCACGTTTTCTTTCATCCATCTGTCACCTGTTCCTATAGTGTGACCGGCTTATCAGTGTTTCTTATTGACGTGTATTCCCCTGGTTTCTGAAGATGGTATAGCCTTCGAAGATCTGAGTTGCACAATCCAGCCAGACCTTGTGACTGCTGGTTAAATTACAGAGCATAGACGCTCTGTGTATAGTACTCAGATTTCTTGATGTGGTTGAAGTACCGGACCACGTTTCTGCTGCATAACAGAGCGCTGAGAGTACCATTGAATCAAAAAGGTGAGTTCATGTTCTTCATGGTCTCCATGTTCCTTGAATGTTCAAAGTATGCGTGCGAGGTGGTTTCTGTGACCAGAGAACCATCCAAGTTGATTTATTCCCCTTGGTTCTTGATGGGTGTTGATGAGTGTTCTTTATGAACAAAGTCTTCGCTCTATGTGTACGCACTTAAATTTTTTTTCCTGCTTCATTAAGTTCACCGAACATCGTGCTGTTTCACCGGCAATCCTCAAAAGGATGACGATGGCATCCGAGAACCAAAGATTTGATAGGAATTCACACCAATGTGTGTGCCATCCTCTCCTCTATCGAATGACTTCATTATCAATGCGGCAGTAAACAGCTTTGGCGACATAGTATCTCCTTTTTCTTACGAATGCGCTAAGAAGTCTATGGAAAAACTATATTTTTGTACTACACTTCCGATAATAGTCAGCTAGTATTCGTACATATGATGGATTCACTCCTTCGTTGACGAGCGCTGAAAGGATTGTTTTCTTTTCAACGCAATGAAACGTTTTCTCGTGGTGGACAAAGGTTAGGACAAGGGCGAGATGGTATATCTGATGGACGGACTTCTATAACCCGTGATATGTTTCTGACATGGTCCATGTAGCAAAGTCCTGTCGTAATCCTTCTTCCTAAACTGGTTGTGCTGTGCTTTCAAAAGTCTTTTCGAGCGCATTAGGATAATCTTCGTGAACAGTGCATAGAGCGCACTCAATAAGCATATTACACAATATTTACGAGAATACCAAAGTGTGAGATCCTCTACTGGGATTTTTTTATTCTTAAAGGGAGATGTCACACCGCGGCTGAACATGTATATGTGGTTCATAGCTTCCAGCTCTAAGGGAGTCGGTTGTAATGTTATTGAGTCCTGAGTTGTAGCTCTGTTCATTCTTTCTATCGCAACTCAACTTCAGATGAAAAACTACAGGGCGCTTCTTCGCCTACAGAGATTTCGACTTTCAACGAACCGGACATCGGACGAGAATCGTAGGAATAGGACTTTCTGTTATGAATCCCATATCATGAGACGAACCGGTGGTAGTCCCATCTCCATTCACCAGGGCTCATAACTGTGGTTTTTGTTGAGCATACTGAAAAAAGCGGATAGGGGAGAGAAGATGGCCTCGTTGAGGGAATTCACCTTTTCTCTCCGATTTGCTTTCTTTTTCTCTGTTTTTATTTTTGCTGAAAATATTTTCGCATATCTTAACTTTGTTGACAATGCAACAAGACAACTCGCACAAGAATAGTCTGATAATCTGTATTTTCAATACAAACTGCTACATATTATTCAACCCTGAGAAGATCTTCTGTATTGGCAAATCCGTCGTGCCGTTTAGAGTTGTAAAATTGTTCTCCGCCTTCTTAGGCTCTTCCTACATGGCCTTTCTTTCGCAGAGGACTTGTTAAGGAGAAATACCCATCGTGTTGGTAGTTGTAGGAAAAACAATGAACTTCACTGTTTTTCTGTTGAGCAGACGCGATTTTGTTATTACATTATTTGTTTACTCACTACAGCTGACATTTCGGCGGTTTCGCCTTCTTCAGAATCCGTAGAAATCAAACTAACACGCAATCTACTCAGTCAAAGACTTTCATATCCCTAGGAAATGTAGTTTAAAAGCAGAAATAGACGTAAAAAAAAGACGTAAGACTTTAAAGGAAAAGTTTTAACACGGCCGAGAGAAAGGCGCAGCGATGGACACGCATGGTGTGATGGTGGGCACATTAGCCCCGCAAACGATAATGAAGAGGTTCTATACCGGTCGCAAACACCTGAGGTCCGCAGTTTTGCAAACATTTCAGTATCACTGTAGTTCTATTTCACATCGTACCCTGCCATAAAAAAAGAATAGGCAGCAAACAAAAAGCAGCTATACCCTAACTTTAAAAAAATCTTAAAAACTTAAAATTCAGTTTTGCAGAGAGATCCACGGATAAAAGCTGACGGGTGATTGCTGTGGCAAAAAGATCGATAGAAATAGCTGAGAGACAGGCGAAACAAAGGACCCGCATGGTGTGATGGTGAACGCGTTACTCCCCGGAAAGGACAATAACGCGTTCGTTCCCCACCATAGACACCTGCGGTCCAGGGTTTTGCAAATATCTCAGCAACGTTGTGATTGGATTTAGAGTTGGCCTAAGCGTTTTTACGACTTCTTGCACAGACTTCTGCCGAACAGTTTCCAGTTTAACGTAAGAATTTAAACTGTTTTGTTACTTAACAAGACTCGAGAAGAAAATATCCATCGACATCATCGAAAATATACTTAGCAATTGAGTTAAAATGGGCAACACAGCCGTCTGTCAACTCCCTTCGGCACCGACCACATTCTGCGTAGGATTAGCATGAACATCTCATTTTTATTACTTAAGGTACCACAATCACCGATCCGATCACAGCCT